TATGTTCCAACATTATCCTTCTCAGTTCTCAGACCCTCAGAAGATAAGCGGTACATCGTTGATGAGGTATTGGGCCTCGCGCCCCTACTCACCAAATGCCCAAATTGAGAATGAATCTTCCTGTAGAACTTGGGGAAATACACGGCCATGCTTCTTGTCTTTTGTGCACACAGAGGTTACACAAAGCACACATAGGCGGGGCGCGGCACTACCGGGAGCACTGCGCCCCGCCCTGGGTTGTGACATCGCACAGGTGGGCCATGGTGAAGGCGCACGATGATGATGGTGGCCATCTCTTCTCTCAACCAGGCGCTTTGCATACGCGCAGGTGACCGGAGGCGCTTGTTCACGCCACGTCACAAGTCGATGTGGTGGATGGACTAACTCTCGTTGGCTTTTCTTCTTATGGGAGTTCCACGCTTCACTGCATTGCTAGTGCGTTCTTGCACGTGGCATATGACCGAAGAAGCGTTGGCTACATCGACGCCTGTGAAGTACAGTGGAGTCAGCCCTTGGTAAACTGAAGTGTGAGTGCAGTAACAACTGCAATCATGAGGAAGTGGGTGTGTCAGCATAATCAGGACGCTGCTCGGCATCAATACATGGGGCGCTGATCATCACTTGTACCATCATCAACAGGGCGTGGTTCGACACCATCATCACAGTAAGGGTTCGTCATCATCATTAGGGTGCTGCTCGTCATCATCATCATGGGGGCGTGGTTCGACACCATCATTACGGTAAGGGTTCATCATCAGCATGAGGGTGCTGCTCGTCAACACCATCATCATCATCAGGGTGCCGCTCGTCATCAACATCAAGGTGTGGGTTGCGTCATTATCGATGCTGCTCTTCATGATGATGAATCATTGATGATCATCATCATTTCGTATCCATAGGGCATCGTTGGGGCTGCTCGTTATCATCATCATCCTTATTACTACGTTAGTATCATTTACCATTATCAATAGTTCACCATCATAGGGCGCTGTTGGCAAAGTTCATCGTCATAGGGCGCTACTCACCCTTATCATCATCACCATTAGGTTATCACCAAGGGTGCTCTTCATTAGCACCATCATC